AGAGAAATTTATTACTATTGCTATTAGTAATAGTGAGAGGAGCGCTGGTGGCATAGTGGGTTTTGTGTGGGAATTGCTAAGTCAGCGCTGGTGGCATAGTGGGTTTTGTGTGGGAATTGCAAAGTTAGCACTTCAAAATCACCAGCTGCTTAATGGGAGAAAGATAACCCTTTTAATTTCCATGAAGAGTTACAGTTTCAGGATTCCACAGGGATAGTTCTACCCCATTCTACAGGCTAACTATGAGTCAGAATCATCTCAATGGCAGTGAGCTTGGTTTCTTTTTAAAATAATTATTAATAGTAGTGCTACTCATAGTAGCAGATTACTTGTCATCACAGTGGTCCCACTGCATTGTACTGTTCAAGACTATACTATTTGCTCCATGGGACTTTGGAACATGTCTTATTCATCTCTGGATAAATTAACATAATGCTTAGCCAATATTTTTTTTTACTAAATGAAGAAACCATTTTGAGTCTCTATTTACTCTTCCGTTAAATTATATAGCATCATTGGAAGGGGTAAATTGGAGAACAATTGCAAAAGTATTTTGGAAACGCTAAAGGATTATCAAATTATAAGGTATTCATGGTAGCATTAAGAGAGGGTCCAGTAAAATTTTTGCAGTCTAGGTTTGTGCTACCTTTTAACTTTGGGAACTAGTTGATACTTTACTCAGGTTCTGCACCCATGCTTTTGTTGGTCTTCTGATGTATCATTGACCACTTGTATTTAAATGACAGCCTCAGGTGAAGAGGAAAATATCTGTAGTCACTTTTAACCATTGGGGTTCCTGAATTTCAGCCTTGTTGCTCACAGAAATCATGGCCTGCTTATTCCCTCCCCAAACGAACTTACAATCTTTATTAATTTCAGGAATCTTTCCGAACCTGTCATGACCTATAGACTGCACAAAGAACTGGTCTCTGCTGCCAGTAAGTATTTATGTCACTAAGTAATTGTGTTTTACCGACTTCTAAATAAAGTTTAGAGCAATAAGCTCTTGCAAACTGCTTTAGGGAAAGTAATTGGAAGAAAAACAAAAATACACAGATTTTGCCCGCTGCCAAATAAGAGTATTCTTAATTTCTGTCCAACTCAAGAATTGCATTAATTTTCCCAAATCCATTTTAGTTGAGTAAATTGGAAAAACAGTTTGATAAATATGACAGGAGTGAAGATTACACTGACTGATTTTTGCCTCATTCATCAGAACAAAAACGTTGGCTCACATTATCAGTGGACATCAAAATGGTTCGATATTCTTGCTGTTCCAGTTTTTCTTTAGCATTTTACTTTTCCAAAATGCTTTTCAATTTTGTTGCAAATCACTGCTCCTAATATGTTAGCCATAAAATTACGTTTTCTAGCTAAGAAAACTGAAGGCGGTGGTAGAGAAATGAGGTTCATAGAATCACACCAAATGTTGGCAGCTCAAGAAGCAGTGAAAGTCTAAGCTGAGGCCACTGTATGAGTGCCCCTCCTTCTAAATTCCACATATACTTTACCTCGTCCTCATAACAGATCTTTGTCGGGGTTATAAATTTTTACTTCCGGGATTTCTTTGTGATTTTCACAAGAACCCAGAAGAAGAAGCATGCCTCCCAGTACCACAAAATTATTGGGTGGGAAAGGGTTTGCATCTGGAAGCATACATATGGACCTTAAGGAGCAAATTGCTATGCCAAGAATGATTGGATACTTTTCCTCATTTTTCTAGGCCCATTTTTATCCCCCCTCCCTTTTTTTTGTCTTTCCCCCTTTTTGGTATCTTTTTTGCCTGTAATTGATTGTTTCTTTCTTATTCTTTCTTTGTCATTGTGTCTCTCTACCTATTTATATTCCTATATATTTTTGTCTGTCAGTCGCTTTCTATTTCTTTCTGATTTTCTATCTCTATGTGTTTCTCTCCCTCTCTCTCTCTGTATGTGTGTGATATTTTTCTTGATTCAATTGCCCAGAAAAACCAAAGCATTTCTTTCATTGATCTTTCTCAGAATCTGACAACCTGGACTACCGTCTTGGAGCTATTCACTCCCTGATATATAAGCTACCAGAAAATAACAGAGAGATGTTGGAACTTATTATACGACATTTGGTCAAGTAAGTGACTGCTGCATTTTCAGAAATAGTTACTGTTTGGGTATTTTCCCACACGGTAGACTGCAGAGAAACTGCTTTTAAATGTGTTAAGTCCCAGTTCCCAATTGTTTGATCCTGGACAGATCTGTGATGAAGGTGGCATTTCCTTGATGAATGTATGTAATCTACAAGAGTCATCTTGCATCTGTGTTGTTTCAGTTGAGGTAGAGTGAGTTGGCTAACACAGACTTTGCTGTCATTAAAACCTGAATTTCAATCTCAGCTCTACTTACTTAACTGCATCACCTTAGGCAATGTTCTCTGAGCCCCTGTTTAGTCATCTGTAAAAAGAGAATAGTAATGCCTAACATTCAAGACTGCAGTGAGGGTTAAAATAAGCATAGATAAAATGCATGGTATATGAAACTCTCTAGAAATGGGAGTCATTCCTATGTTTCTAGTCTTTCTTGCTCTGATGGGGTAGGAAGGAATATGCAGTATCATTCTAGAGACTGGTGAAAGAGCATAAGATGAATGGGTGAAGGGGGAACTTTTAAATAAAAATTAATTTACTTGAATGATGGAAGAATGCCACTTAGGAAGCTGTTATAATAAGACCAAAAATACTCTGTACAGGATTCAGAAATTCTAGGTTCTGATTTCAGTTCTTCCAGTAGCTTACTAGGTGGCCATGGGCAGCTCACTCTCAAGCTCTTTTCTGGTATATTAAAATTAAGTAAATGTGAAAAAATTATAAATATTATAGTGTAAATGATTTATGTTTCAGAAAATATTAATATCAGCCTACTTGAAAAAATGCTTTATTTAGGTTTTAATCTCATTTGGAGAGGATCACAAACACTAAAATTTGATACATTTAATGAATGTGAGGTCCTAGCCTAAATGACCCTCTTGACCTCATTTGTGATAAATCCTAATCACTCTGTCTATCTTGGCTTCAGTTTTTCCTTTCATACAAGATATCTACATGATCAGGTCCAGTTTTTTTTAAATACTTTTATTGGGGGCTCTTACATCTTTTATAACAATCCATGCATTCATCTAGTGTGTCAAGCACATTTGCACATATGCTGCATCATTTTCAAAGCATTCTCTTCCCACTTGAGCCACCGATACCTGCTCCCCATTTCTTCCTCCTCCCACCCTCCTCCCTCCCTCACGAACCCTTGATAAGTTATAAATTATTTCCATATCTTACAACGTCCTCTGTCACCCCTCACTCACTTTTCTGTTATTTGTCCCCCAGGGAGGGGGTTCTAGTTTGATCCTTGTGATTGATTCCCCATTTCTCCCCCACCCTCCCCTAATCTTTCTGGTATCTCTACTCTCCTTGTTGGCCCTGAGGGGTTTATCTATCCTGAATTCCCTGTGTTGCAGGCTCTTATCTGTAGCAGGGTACATGCTCTGGTCTAATCCAATTTGTAAGGTAAAACTGAGGTCATGAGAGTGGGGGGAAGGAAAGTTGTGTGTTTCATCGGTACTATACTGCACTCTGACTGGCTCATCTCTTCCCTGTGACCCCTCTGTGAGGGGATGTCCAATTGTCTACAGATGGGCATTGGGTCTCCACTCCATGCCCTTCGCCCTCCATTCACTTTGGGTATCACTTTGTTCTGGGACTTAGATGCCTGATACCTGATCAATAGCCCTTGATCCCATAGGCTGGTGTGCTTCTTCCATGTGGGGTTTGTTGCTTCTCAGCTAGATGGCTGCTTGTTTATCTTCAAGCCTTTAAGACTCCAGACGCTATATCTTTTGATAGCCGGTCACCATCAGCTTTCTTCACCACATTTGCTTATACACCCATTTTGTCTTCAGCAATCGTGTCGGGAATATGAGCGTCACAGAATGCCAGATTGTTAGAACAAAGTGTTGTTGTGTTAAGGCAGTACTTGAGTCGAGGCCCAATGTCTATCTGCAACCTTAATTCTTAACCTATAGATACGAATAAATAGTTCTATTCAATTCTCGTTATATATATTTTTACATATGTACATGCCTGTATTTAGGCCTCTATAAATGTCCTTTGCCTTCTGGTTCTTTCCTCTATTTCTTCTATTTTCCTCTTGTCCCACAATCATGTTTGGCCTTCATTTGGTTTTAGAAATTCCTCGCTGCTACATTGCCCTTGATTAAGCCCCACTAGCAATCCTATGACATTCCTTCCATTGACTTTAGTTCACTTGTTGTTCTCTTGACCCTAGATTGGTTCCCCTCCCCCTTCCTTTCTCCCACCTCCCCTTCTCCCATATCCCCCTGGAACCATTGGTTCTGTTCTTTTCATCTCTGATTTATTTATCCTACCTATCTTATCTAGATAAACATGCAGATACATTAATAAGTACAGAAATCAGGCAAAGCCAAATAAAACAACAAAGGAAGTCAAAACCAAAAACACAATAACAAAAAATAAATAAAATAACAATTTAAAAAAGAAAGCCATTGACAAAAATGGAAAAGCATATAAATAGTTCAAGATCTGTTTGTTGGCCTTTATGAGTGTTTTCCAGTCGAGTCTGATGGGTGCCACACTGTCTCCAAAGTCTATTTTTGGTATTCCCTGAGGGTTTCATCACTCTGTTCCCTCCGCTGCTCTGCTGCATGCCTTCAGTGTCTCGCCCCAGCATGATGGTGTCAGACAATGCACTATTCCCACACTCTTTCTCTAATTCTGCCCCCCACAGCGCTATGGTTCTCTGAGGGATGCCTTGTCCCTTGGTGGGGCCGGCCCTACAGTCCTCCCTGTGCGTTGTCTGCTTGGAACAGGAACATTGACCTCTGGGCTTGGTGGGGCAAGGATGTCCTCTCCTCCCTCTCCATCCCTTTTTGTTTCTCCCGTGTGCTCTAATCCAACACACCCCTCTCCCCAAGCTGTAGCCCCAGTGCTGTCCTCTGAAGAACATTCTTGGGAGGGGAGGGGGGCTTTCCACATAGTTTGGATTGGAGATGGCCCCACAGACCTCTCTATTGGTTCCCTGGTACATGCCGGTATGTTGTATTCATGTTTTGGCACATCAAGCTGATGCCTAGTCTCTCTCTCCCTCTCCTGTCGAGATATAAACAATACCCTCCCCTTTGGTGGGATAGTACCGGGCTTCACCTCCACCCATGTCTTTTTTTTTAATTATTTTCCTTTCCCCCTCTTATTTTGTTGACTGCCACATGTATCCCTGTATTGGGTTTGGCCCCGGCCATTGTTGCTGGAACTCACCTCAGGGATGTATGTATATAATAGTTTTTCCCCATGTCCCATTTTTTTAAGCTTATCTCAGTGGACTCATGTTCCACTTGTCCTTTTGTGCTTGACACACTTCACTTTGCATGATTTCCTCCAGCTCTTCCCATGTGGGAATGTGCTTCATGCGTTCATCGCTGCTTTTTAAGGACACATAGTAAGTACTCCATTGTATGTATGTACCACAGTGTTTTCATCCATTCGTCTGTTGATGGAAATTTTGGTTGTTTCCACCTCCTTGCAATTATGAACTGTGCCGCGATGAACATTAGAGCACAGATGATTGGCTGTGCTTTGTTTCTTGCCTCTTCTGGGTATATGCCCAGTAGGAGGATTGCTGGGTCATGTGGTAGCTCAATCTCCATCTGTTTTAGATATCGCCAAATCAATTTCCATAATGGCTGTACATACCGACAGGTTCACCAGCAGTGGATGAGCGTTTTCTTTACAGCCCCTCCAACACTTCTTACTTTCTAATTTTTTTGAATTGGGCTAACTTTGAGGGTGTTGGGTGGTATCTCATAGTTGTTTTAATTTGCATTTCTCATATTTCTAATGATTGGGAATATTTTTTCATCTGTTTATTGGATATTTGGATTTCTGCCCCTGTGAAACTTCTGTTCAAGTCCTTTGCCCACCTCCTTAGTGGGCAATTCGGTTTTTCTTCTTATTGTAAGCTTCCAACGTATTGTAGATTTTAGTAATAAGGCCTCTGTTTGACGTGTCATTGCTAAAGATGTTTTCCCAATCTGTGGACTCTCTTATTATTCTCTTGGTGAATTCTTTCAATGTCCACAGGTGGTTTATCTTCAGCATATCCCACTTGTCAATTTGTGACTCCTCTGTATTTGTATCCTTCCCTATTTCCAATAACATATGTATTCCCTGTGTCAAGGTTCTCAGGTTTGTCCCAGTTCCCTCATTAATGGCCTTAATATTTTCGGATTTTACCTCAAGGTCTGTGATCCACCTGGAGTTTATTCTTGTATGTAGAGTGAGGTAAGGGTCTTGCTTCATTTTTCTGCAAGTATATATCCAGTTCTTTCTAGCACCATTTATTGAAGAGGACATACACTTCCCTTTTGATATTTTGGGGGCCCTTATCAAAAACCAGTTGTCTGTATGATGATGTTTTTATTTCTGGGTTTTCAGCTGTTTCCATTGGTCTGAATATCTGTTGTTATACCAGTACCATACTGTTTTGAATACTGTGCCTGTATAATATGTGCTAAAGTCAGG